GGGGGCGTCGTGCGTGCACTTGCTTGCGCCTTTTGACGCTCGATCGAGCTGCTGGGCTTTTCGTCACATTCAATTCATTCATTCGCACATGCGCGCGATCACGATTCTCTCTTTGGGTACATGCGTTTACGCAGGTCGAGACGAGCATCAAAGTTCGTGTGAGGAGCATGTACGCCGACCACTTTCCACTCGTGATTTCGAAGCCCCGGTCGATCACTTTCAAGCAAAGCCGAGTCCAAACATTGGTTGGTGTGCGTGTGCGTGTGGCTGTGGCTGTGCCTTTGCCATCTTCTCATACCCGTTTACATTTGTTTCCCCTCCCGCCCTCTATACTCGCATATTCACAGCTCGTACGCATTTCACCACTTTGCAATCTCAGCGTTTAGTGACTTGATGTGATGTGATGTGATGTGCTGTCATAGCTTTGCGTACCTTGCGTCGGTCTCCAATTCCACGAATCGTAAGCGCGGGCGTGTGCCTGGAATGAGTGTTGAGCAGGCCAACGACAAATCCGGCATGATCCCCCCTTCCAGCCTCTCTAGTCGCTCCTTTTCGTCGTCTTGCAACCGCTCCTTCGCAACCGCACCAACAAGCGACACGACTTTCACATCGACCACTCGTGTTCAGACAGCAAAAGAGACTTTTTGCGAAAGTGTCGTAAACACAAAATCTCATTAATCATCTTGCTGAGTCCCGTTCGAGTGTCGAAATACTCGCACATGCGAGACGAGGCGAGACGAGGCGTGACGTGACGTGAGCGCCGCACTAACGTCAGCATTCAGTCCCTCTCCGCAAGCCTATCCAGCACAGCTCCAACCTCCTCCTCCGTCAATTTCCTAAAGCGCCTTTGCGCTTGAGCCTCTTTGCTCTCATCGTTCAAATCTGCTGCCTTTTCGCCTCCCACGATGGCCACTTCCAGTTCTTCCGCCTTGAGATCCTGGGAGAGGACCGTAGCCAACGTGGAAACGGCCAGCTCGATGACTTCTTGGGATCCCATGCGTCTTGAAATCGCTTCGGCTTCGGCTGCTGCTGCATCTACGCTGTGCTCCGCTCCTGCAGAAGCTGCTGCTCCCTCGGCAGCTCCGGCAGATGCCGTCGTGCTAGACGTCTTTTTGAATTGCTTCTCCAAATGATTGATCGCTTCAGTTTGTCTAAAGATTGGCAAAGTTATCGAGGCAATCAACGCAAGGTTCCGGGATTTGCGGTAACAAGCGAGCGCTCGAAGCATAAACTCGCGACGCGGTGCACACGCCCTTGGCCCTTCGCCCCTCCAGTCGTGCGTCGCATACTCACTTGGCACCAGCGGCCGTAGCTCTGAATCCTACATAATACCCAGCAGGATCAATCTTGAAGACTTGCGGCTTTCCAAAATCCAAACCGATAATGATCATGGCGATGCCCAAAGGTCTCATAGCAGCTCTTTGCGTATAGACTTGATTGATGTTGGCGATCCGTTTGGCAAGCAGGTCAGGTGTGATATCGTAGCCATGCTTGTACTTGAATTCGGCAGCTTCCGAGCGAGCTCGCTGCACTTGGGAGCGTGCGTCGGCTGAGAGGAGATGTGGAGAAGAGGGTGAGGAAGGATGAAGGAAGAGAGGGAAGTTCTCAGCAAGTCCGACCTCGTCGTGCTTCTCTGTCTTTTACACTCACCAACTCGCCCAGTCACGATGCATCCGATCTCTTGCGTGATCTTGAAGATGTGCGTCACGCTCGATGGCTCCAGCAGTTTGTCCTGATTATGAAGGGGAGAAGAGGTATGAGTAAAGAGTCGAGGGGCTGCCTTCTAGACAAAAAAAAAACAGTCCTGCGCAGATGTTCAAGACATGCCACCTCTTTCCATCGGCTAGAACGCCTGGTGTGCCCTGTTGCTCTGCAACATCGACTGAATGCTACGCGCTCGCTGTCCACGTCCACTCACAGGAATCTTTTTCTGCGTGCAGACTACAGCTGTGTCCTTGCCCCTGACAGAGATGGAGGTGAAGCCGGCAGCAGCGATAGCTTTGAACGCATACTCTACCTGGTACAGCCTTCCGTCGGGAGAAAAGACGGTGAGGTATCTGTCGTAGCTACTGCGAGACATTCTTGCAAGGCCCCAAAGAGTCAGGCGCGTCTGATGTGTATGATCTCTGTGATCCGCGTCAGGATGGGGGCTCCTTTTGGAAGGTGAATGTGCGGGGGTGGTGTGAGACTCGATGCTCTGACTTTCTTGACTGTTATGCACTCAATCAGACTCAAGACTGTTGACGACTTTCGAGATGCGGGCTTCGTCATGCACACGCGCGCTCTGCACACAAGCATCAAGCGTAGGATGGTCGGTGCGTCGATGCTGGAAGCGTACGCGCGGCCACAGCAGCGAAACCATCACGTGATGCATGCCATGCAGCATCGATTCACTCAAGACGCAAGACTCAAAACTCGTGACTCGCTTGCTTGGCGCGCGCGTCAAGGCGCGTCAATCTACGCGGGTGCGTGCGTGATGCCTTGACACGCGCCT